TATGCGAAGGGGTGATTAAAAGTAAAAAATCATGTAAAAATTATCAAAATTAATAAAATCATTATTAAAAAATTATTTAATTAAACTTTGATAATTGCCTTAATCTTTTACACATCTGAGAAGATCAAAATTACCTTTAAAGTTTATAATATACACTGAACAAAATAATAAACTCAACACTTTTGTTTTTGCCCCCATTTCTTTTGCAGTTTCATTACACAGCACAATGCCACAGATGTCACAAGTTTTGAGGGAGTGTGCAATTGGCATTCTGAATAGTAGACCATCCGAGTCTCTTTGGAACACTCATTTTAACATACTACGATTTGGGATATACTAATTCTATTTTCGAATACTATTTAGGACGGATAGCATACAAATTGGGACGCAGCATGTGTATTTAAGTCCTGTGTTTCAGTCTGTTCCTGGTCTGTCGTTGTCGTCGCTTCCTGCTTTGTTGTTCCGTTGATGTTTCCTCAGTATCCGATATAAGATTATTCTAGTTTGTTTAATAAAACTGCTACATTTCGATCCTGCTTCATTACCTGCTTTAACAAGCCTGTAACACTTAATTTTTGTCATTGGGAAACTGGTTGGATGGTTGTGGTTTGCTATTGGTGGATATTATTTGCTTGACAGGTTTTTCTGCACTCAGTAAAATACATGGATGTTACCACCACTGGAAAACATTATTTTGATAAAAAAATATTTAAAATTAATAAAAAAATATATATATAAATTAGTTAATAATAAGTAATAAAATATAAATAAATTAATAAAAAAAATGATTTGCACAGAAAATTAATTTATAATAAATACTGAAATATTCCCCAAAAAAACATGGTGACTTTAATCTGTCAAGCAAACACTTACTTGGGTTTTCTTAATAAATACAAGTATTTGTGTGAATAGAGCTAAGATACTGGATGACATTTTTTCCAGATACTGAATCCAGTACTGGATTTCAAATTTATTAAGATTTTAAATATATTAAGAAATATAAAGAACTGCTTTGTAATATATTATAATATTTGTAGTATATCCACATGTAATTGAAATCCAAAGGGATATCTGGTCTTTGAAATGGCGGACATTATATTTACACATAAAATTAGGCTGTCCAGTGATCTATTGTGTGTGGTAGCACTTTCAATTGAAAGCAAATCATAGGACGAGTGAATTCATCAAGGACTCAGAGGCTTTTAACACATAGTGCGCACACATCTTTGCTCTGAGAGAGAAAACAGACAGCATGCTTCATTGATTACCTTATCTGTTGAATGTCAAAGGGGAAGATTAAGGCATTCATTTTCATACAGAGATGAGAAGGTGAGAGGGGTGGGGGTGTGTTGATGACATGTTTTCCTCTCCCTGCAAAGCAGTTATGTAAATTAGCCGGCGATGCAATGTGAATATTCGAAAATTTGTATTACTTATGACATAAAAGCCACAAAGAAAATGACCAAACAAGGCTTGTTTCAGAATCTATCTGTACTCTGAATAAAGGAGAATAAAAGCTATTTTTTGAAGCACACAATAAAATACAGCTTGTTTAAAATCTAGGTCATGCTATTTTCTTTCCATTTTGTGGCACATAATTCTAAGATAAAGAGGCTGAAATCACTTTAATGGCTGCACTGTGGAAATACAATGTTACAGTACAATTGGGTACAACACATGAAGAATTCACAGCTGCACCCATTTATCATTCTAGACAAAATAATGTGTGCGCTTACATGCATAATGTGTGCATATCAAAAACTGAGAATGGGATCAATGTGAAGACTTCTGAGATTATTGATTGCCCCCATGCAACTATGATGAAGACAATAAAATGGGCTGTTTCATGCTGTGTCGTTAATTTAAGGGTAATGAAGAAAAATCAAAGTCATTTGTTGTGCTCATTTTTAGGCCAAAAAAAAAAAAATCGAATAAAAATCCCTATCAGGACAGAAGAAATAAATGGAATGAAAATACACTGTAAATTAACAGCATATTTGGGAGCAATTATAATGCAAAGAGGATTTAAAAACCCATTCTTTCATTTCACAGCTTTCTCATAGTGTGTGTGTGTGTGTGTGTGTGTTTTAGCTCTCTGGGGTGCACTGAATGTGTTGAAATATGAGATCTGAGTCACAACCAAACGGCAACATTCTAATCTGAAACATGAAGAATACCCGGAAGTGCGAAAAACTGAAATACATCTAAAATCCACTAGAGGGAGGTCCCAAAAGGGAGCAAATATCCATAGATCCCATGTTAAAATGTCCGTTTTCACAGCATAATTTCATGCTTTTACAGGTTGGTGCCATGGACTTTTACCGTATTTTTGATTGCCGGACAACTGTGAGGGGGGTGAATTTTTTTCTAACTTGTTAGTTTAGATCGTATTTAGATATAAAATGTATGACAAATAAGGGCGGTTAACTTTGATTGACAGCTGATAACGGGCTGCGCCAAGTGGAATTTGATGTCTCAGCCATGATCTGACACAATCATACCACGTCTGTATCCTTTCTGAACATTTGTATTTTGTATTTCTCAAGATTTTCTAATATGGCTCTGCCCATACCCCCCATAAACAGCCTCTAAACTGCTCTTCAGAAAGTCTATGGGTGACGTCGCAGACGCTTTGTCCATATTTTTTACAGTCTATAGTCACAACAGAGGGGAAGATAATGAGTAACAACTTTAAATTCATTCTGTCTTCAGTCACACAATGCTATATGACTTGTTGCACAAATTGTTTTATGGTACTACTACCCTGCTGAAAAAAAAAAAAAAAACAAAAACAAAAAAGAAAACAAAACCAAAAAACACATTAACCAGCATGAATTCTATTTTGGTCCAGGCTAGTTTATGCTGGTTAGAGCTGGTCAAGCTGGTGGACCATGCAGCATGCTTTTTCAACCCTATCTCACGGCAATTCGTAAAAATTCACACTCCCTCACTCGTACAAATTCGTACGATTTTTGCTTATTCGTACATATTTTACGAGTTACCAAATTCGTATGAATTCGTACGAATGAACTACCCCTGACCCCGCCCCTAAACCTACCCATCACGTGGGTTTAGACAAATCGTATGAATTCCAATGAGTGAGGTCGTACTAATTTGTACGAATTAGCTACCTTTTAATCACTCATACGAATTCGTATACAAATTGGTCGCGAGATAGCGTTGGCTTTTCTCATACTTTTGAATCTGGTCCACTCCCACTTCCCATGTTGGTGACCAGCAAATCATCCTCCCTTGCTGGTCCCATCATGCAAAACATGCCTTAAGCTGATGACCAGCAATGCTTTTTCAGCGGGGTATTGTTATATGGGAAATTATGGGAAAGAGCAATTGAGCAAAACATCTGTTTTCACAACGCATTCTCATCCCAAGGCGTCATCTAGGGTTAGGGTTAGACTAGAGCCTAGAGGGTAGAGGACTAGAGGGTAGGGTTAGGGTTAGACTAGAGCCCAACCGATAAAGTATTTTGAAGGCGGAAAACGATACAAATATATTTGGGTTTTAAAATCCGATATTTCGATATATCGGCCGATATTTTATTTATTTATTTATTTTAAACTGGACATGATAGTCACATTTTGTCATGCTTATTTGAGTTGAGAGAACTGTTGGGGATGTTCTTTTAATTGTTATTCAAGCAATGTATGCATCGTGACCAACTCAACGAGTGTTGCCAACAAGGATGGTGTAGAGTGCCCTCTGGTGGACAAACTATACAACTCCAACACTCATGACATGGTTCAAGCATGTTTCGTCCGTTTTTATTTTATTTTTGAAATATTCATTTATCGGCAATTATAACTGCCGATACCGATAGTTTGGAAAATGCCTAATATCCGCCGATAATATCGGTTTGCCGATATATCGGTCTGGCTCTAGGTTAGACCACTGTCTAACTGACGCTAAAGGGTGCCTAAAGCGTCGGATGTTGACGCATAGTAAAAAAGCGTCAGCTAGATGACGCCTTGGGATGAGAACGGGCTGGTTCTCGTGTTTGACAGAAGAAAGAAAATAAAACATTTGGTGGAGTTGAGTAAATGAAGACACATTTTTTCCAGAACAATAGACAATTCACCTACAGACCTGCTAGTTATTAATCTCTTGACTTCTCCATTTCACAGAAACCTCATGGAAATGTCTTTAATCCTTTGTCAGGCTCACACAGGTGAATGCATCTCTGCAGTGCTGCTAGAGGCTTGTGTCTTAAGAGACCTGCCTTTGATTGCATGTAAACAGCTCCTCATCAGACTGCAGTACACGAGCCCTCTTGACTCCTCTGAGCTCGTGCTCACTACCGGTGGGCTTTTATTCACATGTTGCTAGGATACACAACTTTCAGATGAATCACAATCATTGTGGTCCATGTGCCATTGTTAAAATATGCCCTATAAAAACACACACAATGGACAATAAAATATTTATAGCACTAATGCACTTTTAAAAAGCTATCAAAGTTATGGGAGGTTCGGTGTTTAATTAATTGCAAAGCTATTTGTTCATTCATTTTGTATACAGTCATTATAACAGGCAACATTAATATCACTATTTGTCCTAAAGTTCATATTGTATCTAGATTTTCAGAATCATTATTCCAGTCTTCAGTGTCACATAATCCTTCAGAAATCATTCTAATATGACTTTCTGCTCAAAAGACATTTCTCATTACTATCAATGTTTTTTTTTCAGTATTTGTGTGAAAACAGTGATACATTATGTTCAGAATGCATTTAATGCATCCTTGCTGAACAAAAGTATTAATTTCTTTAAAAAAAAAAAAAAGTAGGGTTTATTGGATATGACAAAATCCTTTGAAAAAGTATGTCCGATTGATTATCAATATTGTATGAAATGTAGTCCTCTGGTGCATGGATTATGTAATTAAATATATATATATATATATATATATATATATATATATATAGATAGATATAAATCTACTTTATATCAAAACAATAACATAATTGTTCCCCATTTTTTCCCCCCACAATAATGCAAAGATGTGTTTTGAGAGCGGGACACATTTCTCCATTGACAGAGAATAAGTATAACACTGTTTTCATCATTCATTCAAAAGGGTAGTTGTTTTGTATTATGAATAAGAGTCAAAGGTTATGGTAGTGATGATGTGATTTTAAAGATCTATCTAGTGGATACCAGCATTAGAACATTTAAGCATTTTATGAAACCTAAACACGTCAGAAGGCTGTAAGCTCTGAATGAAATGTGTTGAGATTGTGTTTTAAAATGTGTTTGTTCTGCTGTATTGTTTGATCAAATATTTCGGTGTGCAGCTTCAGATGGCAAAATAAAATAATAATATTGCTCACTGCAAATCCCAGTGCCAGATACATGCTGTGACTGAACATCGAGGCACTTAAGAATCATGGGAAGAAAAAAAAATAAGAGTTTATGATTGCACTAGATAAATAAAAATGGGCAGGGACTACTTTAGAAAGATTGAATTCATAACAGATATTGAAGGCACATTTTACAGCCAGAAAACGCATTTCCTAACAAAAATACATACCGTATAAGCACTTTAAAAGTGTTAATGCTAATGTTTTCCCTTTTTTTTTTTCATTTACATGTATTGAGAATCAATGATATCCAAGTACTTCGCTTCAATGATCTTTGGCAACAAGTAGTTCCTGCAAAGAAAACAACATGTTACCACCTCATAGAATGTTATGGCAAATAGCATTTGTCTGTGTTGAAATCAGGCAACATGCATTTTGCCTTAAAATATGTATTACCACAAAGTGTGCATCATCTGTCCAGACGTTATACAATAAACTGCAGGCATGCTGCTTTTTTATACTGTCAAAAACATTGTAATTATTATAGTGATGATCACTTTAACCTCTTGGTAACACTTTACAATGACAGTACAAGAATAATGATATGCTAATACCTGAATGAATAGGTGCTTCTACATGAACTCATGATTAGTAAAGATATTAACTTGAAGATCCAATGAAGAACTATTCTTAATTACAACAGGAGTCATAAGGATTCAAGCATGAATAATGGCAGCCACTACACTTTAGTACATGTTTGATAGTTTAAGCATTAATTAACATTTAGGGGTAAACTAAATCAACCAGGCTCCGTAAGAATAAATACGTACTATGCTGAATTTGAATTAAACACGTAATTTAATGCTGTCATAGTTTAAACTGTAAAATCATAATCTGCCATCTGCAGCTTTGTGATAAATAATTGGAATGACATATAATTAGTCAGCCATTAATTACACAGATCCATCTAATCAAACGTGGAATTAGACTCTGTACCATTAATACATTTAATTTGATCAACTATTTTCTGATTTTTATAGTTCATTTATGTTTAGTCACAGGAACGAAACTATGTAGGGTTTGTTTCTGGTGGGACACTCATTACTTTAGGTAGGTAATGCTAGCATTTGAATCTAATAAGTGTTGCCTGCTTTGATAAAACAAATAAATAATTAAAGACATGTTTGCATGTATTTTGTATTGTGATTTTTCAGGAGGTTATGTACAGCAATTAACTGTATTTTTTGTCAATTAAATGTATATGCTTTGATTAGCACTAGCTTATGGATGTGCTCTATTGTATATGTAAACGTGTTTGGGCTTTCTTTTAGGTCCTTAAGTTTAATTAAATAAATAAAAGTAAACAAACTACTAAACATTTTTATATTATTATTATTTTTTTTTTTTTTTTTGCACCAGAGGTGTAAAGGAATAAGGACGGCACTCTTAATCTATATGTTTATTAATATTTTAGACAATGATTTGTAAGTGCATTATTGTGTCAATGCTCTACTTGAGGGGGTACATCATTAACTAACCAGAAACTATCATCAACTAATAGATTGGTAATGCATTATTTTGTCATAACTTTACTTCCAACCCGGTCTCATCCCAAGACGTCATATAACTGACGTTTTGGGACGTCTTTTGACCATACGTCAATATTCGCCTTTTTAGGGCCCCCTTAAACGTTAGTAGATGAGGTTATGGGATCCTAACTCTACCCCAGACCTAAACCTAACCCTAAACCTAACCCGTCACCTAACTGACGTTAAAGGTAAAGCGTCAGTTGTATGACGGCCCGGGATCGCCATCTACCGACGTTTAAGGGGGCCCTAAAAAGGCGGATATTGAAGTATGGTCAAAAGACGTCCCAAGACGTCAGTTATATGACTTTTTGGGATGAGACTGTGTTATTACTTCAGGGGGCACATCATAATTAATACACTAATTGAGCTCATGAGTTATGATACACATACTATCAAGTACACATGTACTAGTACAACGAGTATTCAGCTCAATTAAGTGACGTTTTGTTAGCCTGGGGAAACCCAGACAAATTCCAGCAAATTTAGATTTGCTCTATATGTTAGTCTGGCAAAGAGCTCATTCAAGCCCATTTCTAATCCATCGAAATCGCGGCACAAATCTGTAATGTTGAAGGCGGGCTTTACATCGACAACAGCACAGAGACGGTGAAGTAGATTTTATACATTTATAAAGATGGATGCAGCCGTGGAACTAGGGGTGTGGCGGTTATAGTTGAACACTGTCATTATAACTCTATAACTGCCAAAACCATGTTATTAAAATACATTTTTTTTTTTACAAACATTTTTTTATCATAGAGAATGTTTAATACCATCAGCTTACGAGGGAAACAGGGGCGGAGTTAGTGATGCTTTGAAGGCTGCTACTGCTGGAGATGACTCTATTCGCATTCGCGCGTTGAATAGTGCAAGACCGGCAAGACCCCATGTCGATTGGCTATGTGCACGGCTTTTTTGTAACAGCACGCGCCGCGTCGCGTCCAAGGATGAATGAATTCAAGCCGAATCTGCCCTAGCATATAGGCTACTACGTCTCACCATACCGACACCCAGTTTGCGCGTCTAAATGGCAAAGTTTATTTTGTTAAGGTTTTGTTTACTGTGTGTGATTTATTTAATGGAAAGGACATTCACTTCTAGTTGTCTTGCTGTTCATTTTAAACAAACGTAAAGTAGCCAATCAGTGTCTGCTCGTTTATTCAAACTAAGTTGTTCTATAACAGACGAACGTCGTTCTGCATACATCATCTCTTTCATCACTCTGATTGGTTTTAGGTCTATGCAGAGCTACGGCCGTTGGTGACGCCCCTTTGGAAATAATTTGTATAGACCTTATGTAGCCCCACCCCTTTTCAGCAGTGCGATCATGGTCTTTTATCTTCCGGTGTATATTTTCACAGTGATCTTGCCTATTTATGAATGAACGGCTTGTTTTAAAATCTTCCCGGTCTACTGACATTTGTTAAGACATCTGCTTTAAACATTACAATCCTCGTGAACTTTACATTAAGTAAATCCATTTCAAAAGCTAATTACTCATAGACAGCGATGTCATAGAGATATAAAGAGAGACCACAAAAACGGAAGTTCAAAGACAATATTCTAACGCCCTTGTTTTTGAAAGCTTTGAAAGACCATAACTCAGTTACAACCAGTGGTGGAATGTAACGAAGTACAAATACTTCGTTACTTTACTTAAGTACATTTTTCACGTATCTTTACTTTACTTAAGTACAATAAAGAGCCTACTTTTTACTTTTACTTCGTTACATTTTGCAGCAATTATTATACTTTCTACTCCACTACATTTCTACAACTTCTGTTACATTTTCGTTACATTTTCTGATCAGTTTTTCCCCTGCCAAAACGTAATCTGACCGTCCGTCCGTTCGTTGCACGTTTGTCTCACCAGTGACGTTTGGTTGCCATAGATACAGTATATCAACCCGGTCACACTAAATGCGTCTCGCACGCAGTCTGTTTATCGTGCAAACTCATACGCGAAAATTTGTTTTTACATGCATAGGAAACACACCGTGTGTAATATATGTTTGGTTTGGTTAGGATATGGCAAGCCAAGAGGTTCAGAATTACACCATAAATGAATCGCATTTACTGCCAAACATAGTTATTAACATATAGTAAGGATAAGCATGATGTGTATATTGCCTAATTGCAAGCTTGTTTCAGAAATGGTGACAATTTTTTCCCATCATTATTGAACATCATTATAGGAGTAGGCTATTAGGTTGAATGAGTTAGAATTAAATGTTTTATTAATCATTAGAAAATAGACATTAAGATAATAAATTGTTATGCAAGTACTTTTACTTTTAATACTTAAAGTACATTTAAAATAAAGTACTTTTTACTTTTTACTTAAGTATGGTTGTCATTGTGTTACTTTTACTAAAGTAAATATTTATCTGGGTATTTGTACTTTTACTTAAGTACTGAGATTCAGTACTTCCTCCACCACTGGTTACAACTGAGAATGGTCTGGTTTTAACCAGGCTAACGTTGTGTGGATTTTCAAGAAGTCAGAGAACAGAGGTACAGTATCATCATCAAAGCCTGTTTGTGGATGGAAAGTGAACTGTACTGATCCCAGCAAAGGTCCCCTGACCTTGGTTCATGTTTCCTGTTTGGTTATGTTTTTGGTAACTGATTCCTTGGGAACTGTTGAAAGTCAAAGTAGGTTTAGTTTGATGGGAAAGAAAATATCACAAAATAGTGGATTTAGTATTTGCTCTGTTTGATAGGGAGGATCAGTGAAAAAAATGACAAACTAATCCTGTGGCATTCAGTAATGTTTATGACGAAGCTGCTAATGTCAATCGTTTAAATTATGACAATAACAATTTGTTTAAATTTAATTCAGTCAAAATATTTCTCATTCCCTCTTACGGACACCGATTGGTTTAGTTTACCCCTAAATATTATTTAATGCATTAACCATCAAACATCTACTAACATTTAGTTAAGGCTCCTGTTATTGATACATGAATCCTTATGACTCCTGTCATACTTAAGGATAGCTCTTTATCGGTTCATTTCTTTACATCCACACTAATCATGAGTTACGTTTTCTGAATCATGAAGTAACTATTACGTAATTCAAATATTAGTACATGCTTATTTATGTACTGTTATTGTATAGTTTTCCCAACCTTCTAATATAAAGGCTTTGCTATACCTTACTGGGATGAGCATGATCATGAGTAAAGGAAAGATCATCTTCATGTAGGGAAGAGGGTACATCCCAAACACACACAGGATGATCAGCTGAACAATCTGAAGGCCTGTGAAATAATGCACCTTCCTCTGCGGCACTCTGCGGATGTAGTGAGTGGGTGGATACGACATCTTGGGAACAGAGATTAAGATTAGTATGAGAATAATCAGTGACAGATTTGTATTATTTCATGTTAGTCAACCTAAAATATAATCCTATTTACTATCTTAAAGGGATAGTTCTCCCAAAAAAGAAAATGTACTCACCCTCAGGCCATCCAAGATGTAGGTATTTTTTTCCTTCAGTAGAACATAAAGAAATGTTTTAGCTAAAAACATTGGTCCTTGGTGAATCATTTAATGCAAGTCAATGGCTGCCATCACTTTGAGAGTAAAAAAACAACAACAAAAGAACACATACAGGCAAAATAAAATGCGTACCCGGCCCGCGGACCCTGACGACACATACAAAAACAAAACAAGGCCTCAAGAAGTATTTTTATTCGATTTTTACATTTTACAATAAAGCTCAGTGAATGATATCAACAGAAACAACAATATAAATAATTATTAAAATCATCCACCATTAATAACGATAATATAAAAAGGAATTAAAGAGAATAAAATAGAGAAATTAAATCAAATAAAATAAAATGGATAAATTGAAAAGTACACTCTAAAACACTGGGTTGTTTTGGGTTACATTTCTTAATTACATGTTTAACCCAACGTTTGGGTTTGTCCATATTTGACCCAAATTTGGGTTAAGACAACCCAGCATTTTTAGAGTGTAAGAATAACCAGGGTATATGAAGTTTCAGTAATGAAGCACAAACAAAACTCAGTACTCAGAGCAGACAGCGTACAATGCCCTGTCTGTCATGCATACACCTGGTTAAGTCGATCTAGAAATGGTTACCATATACTTAAAAATGCATCAAGGTTACCCATAATTCCATACCGCTCTCTCTCCATGTGGAGTATTCCAGTGAGGTAAGTTGACCATGTCTTGAACTGAGGAACGGTATCTGATTTCCAGAGTCTTAGAATGATGCTCTTAGCAATAATTATACCATAAATAATAGTGCTTTGTACAGAGACATTATGGTCTGACGAAGAAACAGAATATCCAAATAATGAGATCTCTGGATCAGGGTTAAAGACAAAACCATGTCAGAGAACCACTTAAATGTTGCACCAAAACTCATAAAGTTTAGGGAATGTCCAAAAGAGATGGGTAAGAGAGCGCTCTGCAGATTTACACCGGACATGTACAGTAGGAGAAACAGCTACGCTATCTCACGACCAATTCGTACGAATTCGCACGAGTGATTCAAAAGTGGCTAATTCGTACGAATTCGTACGAGTTGTCTAAACCCACGTGACGGTTATGTTCAGGGGCGGGGTCAGGGGTAGGTCATTCGTACGAATTCATACGAATTTGGTAACTCGTAAAATTCGTACGAATTCCCGTGAGATCGGGTTGGAAACGGAGAAACCCATCTCCTTTGGCTTCTGTAAATGTATTTTTGATATTCTGTGAGCTTTAAAACACCAGATAAAAGAAAGGATTATTAAATGTAATGTTTTTTTAAAGACTTTGTCAATAAAATAGGAAGATTTTGATCACAATTATTGCCAGAGATATTGCATTGTGTGTTTTTATCGACTATAGCACTTGTCAGTAAAGTTCAGTGTGTAGTTTGCTGGTGAAGAGTTAACACTGATGTTGCGTGTCTGATAAAAGCTAATAAAACCTCCTAGTCGGAGTTATTCTGCGTGCATATTTCAAGGAGAGCCTCCTTTATTAATATTTCTTCATCATAATGAAAGCATTACAGGACTGACCTCTCAGGATTTGAAACAACATCATCTGCATATAAGAAGATGTGATGATCTACATTTCCCAGTCTTACAGGCTCAATAGATGGATGGTTTCTAATACTGATCGCAAGGGGTTCGATTGAAGTTGGGGGACAGTAAGGGATTAGGGGACATCCTTGACGTACTGTATGTCTCGATGTAATAAAAAGGACTTTGACTTTTCTTGATTTGTTATGGAAGAGGTTGGGTGAGCATTTGATATTGTAATCCACGACATAAAACGACTACCAAACCTACATTCTTCCATAACTCTCACCATAAGGCCATTCCAACTGATCAAAAGCACAGAGCAGCCACTTTAGAGCCTTTTTTTATAATGGTAAATTATATCTTCTAACATTAAACAATTAAAATCTATAAGGAACAAAACCAGTTTGATCCATATTGATATTGGATGAAATGTATTTAACCTTTTAGCTATTTGTGTATGGCTTTATTTGCTTGTAAACCTTTATGTGGCTTATCCTCAAACTCAAAATATTTTTTGTCTTATCCTCAACGATTGATCCAATGTCCTGATATAATAGTTTTGTATTCATACTTTAATTTAAGAATATTCTGCAAGGTAGAGAGGAAATTCGGGTTCCAATTGAGATAATTCCTCTTCTAAGAAAAATCACGAATGCATGTTATATTCAGCCCGTTCTCATCCTTTAGCGTCACATAGAACGCTATGACAAAACGGCGGTATACTACGCACATGGCACCCTCTATCGTTAATATAACACGCGAAACCAAGGCGTCATGAATCCTTTAGCGTAATATGAGACTACCCCAAACCTAAACCACACATCACAGCGCATGTTATATTAACGATAACGGGTGCCATGTGCGTAGTATAGCACCGTTTTGTCATATAGCGCTCTATATGACGCTAAAGGATGAGAATGCGTTGTTATATTGCACCCCAAAAACACAATCATGCAATGAAAAAAAAAAGCAGTAGACCACCCCTTTAACACAATGACCGAATAATTAGAAATATGGAGAGGAGCTCAGCAGAACACTGTCTGCTACTCCATGCGGTACTCAATAGCGCCCCCCACAGTGAGGTTTTGTAAAGCTCAACGATCAGTCTCTGCAAGAAACTGAACTTTATTTACCACATTATTATCTCTAATCCACAGCCTTGTCAAACAGTCCTAAGTGCGGTCATGGCAGTCTGGATCGTGAGCTTGTGCGAGGGAGCAAACTTGCTCATGACCTACCATTGTGTTTAATTACAACAAAGTTGGAAAACGTGTTTATTGTACTGCTCAAAGTGGTACTTGTGCTTATCCTGGATGCTGCAACCTATATAAAAAATAAAGATTACATGCGATTGTGAAATCTCAATCAAAATGATTGACTTTTCACAGCTCCCGCATAAATGTCGTAATGCGACGAAGCTTGCGCTCCATGAACACGTACAGTACTCAGGACCGTTTACCGAGGTTGTGGATAGGTAATAATGTTGTGAATAATATTCAGTTTCTTGCACAAGCCGATCGTTTTCGCTTCATAAGACCTCAATGTGTGGTCAGGACTCAGGAGCAAGGGGGATTCATTTTGTTTTGCCTGTAGTATGTTTTGTTGACTCTCAAAGTGATGGTAGCCATTGACTTGCATTAAAAGAATCACCAAGGACCACCGTTTCAGCTAAAAATCTTCTTTACTGTTCTACTGAAGAAGAAAAAAACACCTACATCTTGGATGGCCTGAGGGTAAATTAACAGCAAATTTTCATTTTTCGGTGAACTATCCTTTTAATACACATTCAGTGACCTATCTAGACATGATTTCCAGCAAAAAAAAAAAAAACTGTTTGTGATGAACACAAAAACTGCTGTACATTCTCACAGAATATATCTGATGTTACGGGGAGTAGAATTTTAAACCAATGAGATTTCACTGTGGCCAGTGTCTGATGCTTGGTGCGCCTTGTTAAGTCAAAAACTCGGATTTGCCCTGTTTCATTCCAAAATACATCATACATTAAAACCTGTTGGTAATGACATTTCATGTTGACTTTAAACCTGTAAATCTTCAACATGGTCGAATGGCCACCATGAAACTCAAAAACAACCTTCACAGCCACAATTAGTCCCTCACTACACTAGCTGTATGCTGACTTTTATTGATTTTCACAGCGGTTGTACATTCCAAAGGTAGCATTACATTATGCAAAATGTAATGCAAAGTATCATTGATAATAAGGAGTGATCTGGACGAGACTAGGATTGAGATTAGAAAGTCTTGTGTTTGATAATCAGAGGAACCTGAATGGTTTTAAATGAACTAAGTTACTGGGGCATGTTGAAATGCTTGTATTACTGTATGTGTATTCATAAACTTAATTACTTGAGTTTTACTGAATGGTGCTCTTAATATACAATAACACTCATCACTCAGCATATTTGGATTTTTGTAGTTTATTGTCAATTTAAATTGCCATCAATGGAGAAAGATGAATTTCTCAATAATGGTGTAGTTTTGGCTACGGGGCAGTGCTAATCAAGCCAAACCTTATTTCAAAGGGGTTGGCCCATTCATATTTTATTCTAAAAAAGTCTCTTATGCTCATCAAGACTGCATTAAAAAAAAACTGTTTGTATTTGACAATATTTAAAATGTAATTTAATAATGTCGAAGCTGAATTTTCAGCATCATTACACCAGTCTTCAGTCTCACATTATCCTTTTGAAATCATTCTAATATGGTGGTTTGCTGCTCAAGAAACATTTCTTATTATTATCTGAACACAGCTTTGCTGCTTAATATTTTTAATAATCTTTGATGAATAGAACAGATTCAAAAGAACAGCATTTATCTGAGATGGAAATCTTTTGTAACATTATAAATTGTCACTTTTGCTCAATATTATGTCTGATCAAAAGTGACAGTAAAGACATTTTGTTCTGACAGTAAATACATTTTTTTTTCCCTTTTATTCTGTATACAGAATAAAAGAGAAAAAAATTGTTACTGACCCCAAACTTTTGAAAAGTAATTTTAATCAAAACAAGATACACTAATACATGTCAGTTTGTTACTGGTTCACTAGTCTTAGTCTCTCACTTGTTCTTTAAGCAGAAGGGCCATTCGGTCACACATCTGGTTTCCATCAATAGACGTAAGGGCGATGTACAGGAAGAGTCCGTAGAGAACAGGTTTCGGTATCCATTGCAGAGGCACTGGCAGCAAAAACACTGACAAACCAATCAGGATGTTGGCAGCCAACGAAGTAAGTCGCGTTTCCTTTACACTGACTATCCTGCAGGTACACATAAGGACGTGTTTTACAAGTCTTGTTAATCACACTTGATGTGTTATACTTGCTAACTCATATGCATCATGCATGTTTAAAGCTACACTGTGTGATTTTTACCCCCCTCTAGCGGTGATATGATATGACCATCCAGTGAATATTAGTTTCTGTTCCTCTCAATTCTGATTTCGTTTTAACTCCTATGGTGGCCAGTGTAGTCCAAGATTAACATGGCTTCTGTCTAACTCAAACGTAAACGTGAAAGGCGAAGCTTTCATTAACGGGTATGTCCCTCTTTGGCTAATGTACTTTCAAGATGGAGGGTCAACATGGCGACCGACATTAGAACCCCTTTTCCGTATGTATTTTCAATGGCAAATTATACACTCCCGAGAATACTTTATTACTTGAACGAAGAAAATGTACATTAATGAGCACACATATTTTTGAAAGAACTAAGTGTTTTTAGCTAAGAATAAAGAGTTACACAGTGTAGCTTTAAACATACTGCGAAAATTGTGTTCTTTAAGTGTAAATGTAGGTGTTTGCCATCACGTTTCATAGAGGTGGCCCCCCTCCATTCGTTGTTCCACTCTCGCCAGCTGACGCACATGTAGCGTGGAGTGTGGGAAAGCCGCGTGCATCCATGGTAACCCCAGCACAGACAACAAGATGTTGATAAACCCAGAGAGCATCAGGTCCCAGTGGTACGCCGTTCCCTTTAGCAGTCTGAAACGGATGCACGTACACCAAAACTGTTCATATGCTGTCTCTCAGCACCACCCACAACTGTCTCCCCTGAACTGACACTGTGAATAATGGCTGTTTCAGTGTTTTAACTTACTGTACATTGGTTTGCGTGAGGAAAACGTAAACCAATGGAATGCTAGCAAACTGAGAAGTATGGCACTGCGGGATGAAAACAAACTTTCAATGTTTAACTAAATGACACTACTGATACCTGTTCTCTGGGGCATTGGTGAGGGACACCACGATATTCTGGTCAATGAAGATGAGCAAGGCAAGGAGAAAGCCAAGACCACATGCGCTTAATATGTTCATCCCTGTCAGCTGATTAAAAGGTGCCACTTTGAATACAGTTCCATTCTGGAAGTTGAATACTGGAACTGTGGATCAGCATATTGAAATAATTAAAGTGATTATTCATTAAACAAATTATAATTCTGCCATTACTTACTCACTCTCTGCAATAGCTCACAAAACACATGTTATGTGTTATGAAATGTTTAATGTCAAGGGTGATGTCAAGAACTGGGCCCTCATTAAATTATGGAATAATTGTTAAAAAAATAAATATAATAGGCATAATTGTGGAATAAATACCTAATATTTGAGTTACATAAAAGTTTTTTTATTTGTTGTCTTCCTAATTGTCCTTAAAATAGTGGCAATTATTGTTGTCCCCTCTCACATTGGTCTTTGTACACTCCTCTAAAGATTCAGAAGAGACCTCAACAACTTTACAGACTGAACTCAAATTTTAAAGAGAAGAATAAAACTACCCACAGCGGTACCCACATTTACAATAAAAGAGCAATTTCTTCCATCTCTGGGTCACAAGAGGCCGTGGATTGCAGTAAGCGACGCTTCAATTCCTTGCCACTCCTTTCCCCCTCTTCCATCGCCAGCCGACAGCAGTGTACAGTTCGGGGACGCCACCAAGCCTTCCCACGCACCATCTGCCCAACCCTAGAACCAGGTAAGTGTGCTACAACACACTCGCCCAAGCCAAGTCCTTGTGTACCACCTCGCTGCCCCACCCCCGGGTACGTCTGTGGTCCCGTTGATCGCTTGCGCGGTGTCTGGGAGCCTGGCTAGTGTTTCCCAGCCCGTCTCTCTGGCTCATCCATACCATTAGGCTCGGCTATGCGATTCAGTTTGCCAGGCGCCCTCCCAAGGGGCATCCAATTCTCCTCTGTGTGGAGTTCCGATGCCCCCTGTCTTGCGGGCAGAGATCGATGTCCTACTGGCAAGGACGGCATCGAGCCGGTTCCACCAGCTGATATGAAGACAGGGTTTTACAGCCCCTACTTCATTGTACCCAAGAAAGGCAGTGGGTTACGACGAATCTTGGACCAGCGAACCTTGAATCGGGCCCTGCACAAGCTCTCGTTTAAGATGCTCACGCAGAAATGCATTTAAGTGCATCCGTCCCCAAGATTAGTTTGCAGCTATCGGATCGACCTGAAGGACGCGTACTTTCATGTCTCGATTCTTCCTGACACAGACTATTCCTGCGGTTTGCGTTCGAGGCATATCAGGACAAAGTAATGCTCTTTGGCCTGTCTCTGTCGCCCCGCGTCTTCATCAAATTCTTCTTGAATTTTCAACTATATCGACGACTGGCTGATTCTGGCTCAGTCTTGGGATCAGTAGTGCGAACACAGGGACATGGTGCTCCGTCAGCCTGCTCAGCCTGTTCACATCCCTTACGTGCTCAATCGTGCAGCCGACGAGCTCTCACGACAGCCTACGCTTATGGGAGAGTGGCGTCTCCATCCCCAGGCGGTCCAGCTGGGACTTCTTCGGAGCCGCACAGATTGATCTGTTTGCCTCTCCGGACTCAACCCATTCCCTGACCCGACGGAACCCTTGGCACGGATGTGCTGCCAAACAGCTGGCCCAAGTATGCGTTTCCCCCAGTGAGCCTTATCGCACAGACACTGTGCAAGGTCAGGGAGGATGGGGAGCAGGTCTCGTTAGTTGCGCTGCATTGGCACATCCGGACCTGGTTCCCAGAACTCATGCTCCTCGCGACAGCACCTTTTTGGCCCATTCCTCTGAGGAATAACCTACTTTCTCGGAGAAGGGGCACTCTATGGCACACACGTCCAGACCTCTGGAAACTCAATGACTGGTCCCTGGACGGGACACGGAGATTAGGTGACTACATAAAATGATTTAAATATATACATTTTCTAACTCCATATCTTGAATTTTGTGATCATTCGCATGCATTCCTAAATACTTTTTAGGGTCTTGATGTTTGTCAATAATATGAAATATTTAACCCGGAAAGGACAAAACAAATGATAATGAATGAACCCAAAAGGTTCCATATAGAACTTTTTTCCTGGTTACAAAGAACCCTTAAAAAGGGTTCTGTGTAGAACCTTTTTGGGTTCCAAATACGAAGCACTGATAGAACCTTTTAAGATTATATATAAAACCTTTTAAGGTTCAATATAGAACCTTTTCTATATGTGTACTGAAAATGATGATACAAGCAAAAAGACAAAATTATAATTTTAGGTGATTGTTTTGACGTGAGGGCTTACGCTGAATGCCAATGAAGAGGTAAGTGCCCACAAAAGAGAAGATGACCACAGAGATCGGCAATGCACAGTCTGACACCACTTCTCTGACTTTAGCATGCAGGAATGTGCTGGAAAGAAACCAGAAAACATCAGAATTTCGAGTTAGTGTGGCCATATAGAAAAGGGGATTCCTCGTTCTAGAAAAAATAATTAACTTTTTATGTTAATTTTACCTTCTCTTGATGAGGAACAGGACATATCCCAGCCACAGTGTTCCCAGCATCAGCAGTAGGCAGAGAATTGGGAGCTCCCTAGTGCCTAGAACCATTGATGCAGGCAGTGAGCCTCCATTCTCTGTTCCGTTCACTGTCTGAAGAAGCATTACACCCAAACGATGCAGATCCTCTTTGCTTCCATTGACAAGTATAGGGCCATGGTAATATTTATGAAATACTGAGAGAAAAGAGAGGTAAAGTGGTAATAAAGAGAATAGGTTAAATAGAAACGAGTGAGCAAATATATATATATATATATATATATATATATATATATATATATATATATATATATATATATATATATATATTCAGATATAAAATATATCATGCACCCAAAAAAATGACAAATCTTTCTCAATCTATTGACCCTTATGATGTTCCAAAAGCATATGATTTGCGTTCTGCAAGTGTAAAGAGATTTTAGGCAGAATGTTCATGCTGCTCTTTTACATTCAATGAAATTTAAAGAGAACTGGGGCTCTCAAGCTTAAAAAAAGTACATTATGATAAATACCTAGCTTGTTACATATACATGCAACATTTCAGCCATAAATAAATTATACGTTAACTAGATTTTAGGTTTATTACTAGGTTTATTACTTGTCTAGCGATGTATATTTATGCTTAAATTCACAGGGGTTGGACAATGAAACTGAAACATTGGCCAATACAGTGCTATACGATTCATACTGTATAAGCTGTCTTGGAAGCTGTCTTAAAATGATGTACGGGTATTAACCCGGATTGTATCCTAAAAAACATAAAACAAAAGCTGCCCAAAACACTGCAGAATTAAACACGCATCTTGACTCTCCTGTTTCCACCAAAGCTGTTCGTCTGGAGCTCCACACAGTCAATATTCATAGTCTTGCTGCTATACTTTGTACACTCGTACCAATGCCAAATGTCGATTTCATTGGTGCCAACAGAGGAAATCTTGGGCTGTGGACAATGTAAAACTCGTATTGTTCTCTGGGTCCATCTTCACTGTCTTTTCCACATCCGGGAGAGTTACAGTTTGGAGAAACCCCAAAAAGTTCCCTTTCGAAGGGAAATCAACAATACGTCGAATGACGCAATGGGGAATGCCTCAGGCGTGACAGGTGTCTGAAATCAAATATCAACTCACAGTAATCAGGTTGACCGGCAACAGCCCGTGCATCATCAGCTTGAATGATGAGTGCGTCAATCGGGATGTATAAGAAGGGCTGTTTTCGAAATCAACGATTCAAATATGAAGCGTGCAGAGAAGCGGCAGAATACCTTCCGCAAGTGTGCTGATCCGTGTCCTAGATATTTGACACCGGGAGATCCACACGATCTGTGCGTGTTCTGCCTGGGGGAAGAGCACGCGCGGGAAGCACTCGAGGGAGCTTCTTGCGCGAACTGCGAGGGTTTTACCATCAAAACTCTCCGCTCTCGTCCGTCCCACTTCTCGAGGGAAGTGGGTATGGCATCTGAACCCCGCGGTTCTGGTCCCGCTCGGGCTGAGGCTCAGCGGTGATTGAGCTCATGGGGCTCTCAGATGGAGCTGGCGGATCAGCTGGAAAGGGGCGTTTACCTTTCGAATGATTCGCCAGCTGACGAGGGCGAGTTACAGATCAATGTTGAGGATGTGCTCTCTCTCTCTGATGGATCTGTAAATGGTTCTCTTCGGGCCGGGCAAGAGTTGGCTTTGGATGATGTCAGTTTGGTTGAGACTGAACCATCTCAGCCCTCTTGTCCAGTGTACGCTGAGCTGGTGGATGTTATGGGGTGCGTCACGGATAGATTACAGCTAGAGTGGAGGCGCATCCGGGAGGAGCCCGTTCGTGGTATTTTGGACGACCGGTTCCTCCCCACCCGTAAACCACCAGCTCGGTTGAGCCTTCCATTTCTTCCCACCCTCCACTCTGAGATCGAGAAGGCGTGGCAGCACCCGTTCTCTGCGCGTCTCCATCTGCATCAGCGGGCTAGTTTCGCTGAAGTGGAGGGAGCCGCAGAGCATGGGTATGTGTTGATGCCACCAGTAGAAGAGATGTTGGCTAACTATCTCGCCTCTGGTCGGCCATCCTCACTAGAAGCTCCGACCCTGCCATCCAAGGCGCTCAAGACAACTTCGCACTTGAATGGCAGAGCGTACAAGGCGGCAGGTCAGGCGGGTTTGGTTCTGCACACCCTCGCGGTCCTTAAGGCCTACCAAGCTGACCTGCTGCGGGACCTCGATCAGGGGGCCGGTTTGTCCCCTGACGTGGTTGCGGAGCTGCGCCGCACCACGGATTTGACTCTCCGGGCCAGCAAGCAGTCTGCGGGTTCCATCAGTCGTGCGATGGCTGCTATGGTGGCCACGGAGAGGCATCTGTGGCTCAACCAGGCTGACATCTGGGAGAAATATAAGACTTTTCTCCTCGATTCGCCAGTTTCGTCTTCCGAGCTTTTCGGAAATTCCGTCGAGACGGTGGTCTAGAAGTTCAGGGAGGCGAGGGCGCGCTCCGCGGCATTTAAGTGACTGCATACCGCGGAGGTCCTCGGCCCAGCCCAGGCAGGCGGGAGAGCCCGGTCCGTCATGGTCTGAGGATCACAGGCGGGCCCAGAGGGCCAGTGTCGCCTCCCGTGCGCCCCCTCCTTCCAATAGGGGGAGCAGGGCGCGCAGGAGACGAAACTCCCATGGAAGGCAGGATCTCAGAGAGGTGATGCAGAGTAAATGTTCTTAGACATCGCCTCTTGGGATCCTGTCTCCAAACACCATCGCTCCCAGGCTCTTCCTACATCAGGCCTGGGGTGGGGCCCATGATGAGTTTAAGAATTTTCTGATGGCCCACTTCAGCTTGGTGTTAGGAGCGCCTTTGTTTCCCTGGTCGCCAGGTTACAGGCCTCACCTGGCCTTCCTTGGCTATGGGCTTCCACTTACTGTCATCGCCAGGTTACAGTCCTCACCAGGCCTTCCTGGTTATGAGCTCCCACTTATTGTGGTCGCCAGGTTATAGGCCTCACCAGGCCTTCCTGGCTATGAGCTCCCACTCATTGTGGTCGCCAGGTTACAGGCCTCACCAGGCCTTCCTGGTTATGAGCTCCCATATGTGGTGGTTGCTGGGTTATAGGCCCTAAGCGGGCCTTCCCAGGTTATGAGCTTACTCACTCTATTGACTTCCCAGCATGCAGCATACTGTGGTCACCAGGTTACAGACGTCACTAGGCCTTCCTGGTTATGAGCTCCCACACAGTGTGGTTCTCGGGTTACAGGCTCAACAGGCCTTCCTGATTTTGAGCTTAATCATACTGTTAAAGCTGCTGTCGGTAACTTTTTTGAAGTGGCCAGTGGTCAAAACTATCTGCTTGCCATAGCTAGATTCAAAACGGATAGCTTGTAATAATGATTTTAATTACATTGGTACTGGCTCTATCTTGGACGGACAGGCTATGGCCAGACTCTGCGTCTTAGTACAGATCACCAGGCCAGCCTGGGGGCATTTCAGGAGGAGTGTTCTCCTGAATAGTGACTGGCTGGGGGCCATTTGAGCTGGCCCAGATTTACCCACGTTATTACGTTCTGGTTTTTCTTGGTTCATTAGCTTGGGCTATGACCATTAGGGAGTGCTGTCACTGACAGCCTGATGTGACGTAGGGTGAGTGGTTTCAGTGTTCCTTGGAATTACTGGTTCTGACAGTTGTCACTCCCCTCAGCATGGCGGAGTGGGTATTTCGTTCCCCATTGCGTCATTAGACGCATTGTTGAGTTCCCTTCGAAAGGGAACGTCTCAGGTTACGACTGTAACCTATGTTCCCTGAGAACAGGGAACGAGACAATACGTCTTGTTGCCATGCCTCGGGGCCTGCCTGCAACAGTCCCTTCAGACGATAGGATGTTGTCACGGTTTCAAGGTGCCCTTCTTATACATCTCAATTGACGCGCTCATCATTCAAGCTGATGATGCACGGGCTGTCGCCGGTCAACCGGATTACTGTGAGTTGATATTTGATTTCAGACACCGGTCATGCCTAAGGTATTCCCCATTGCGTCATTCGACATATTGTTGAGTTCCCTGTTCTCAGGGAACATAGGTTACAGTCGTAACCTGAGACGTTTTCACACCTGACTGTTGCTGCCAAGAGTGAAGCACGAGGTGGATCAGTGATGGTTTGGGCTGCAATATCATGGCCTTCCCCACTGTGCTTGATTCACTGCCAAGAACTACAAAACCATTGTGCACCTAATGGTTCAAACATTGTACCCTGATGGGGGTGCCGTGTATCAGCATGATAATGCACCAATACACACAGCAAGATTAGAGACAGAATGGTTTGATGAACATGAAAGTGAAGCTGAAGCTGAACATCTCTCATTTTGGGCATTTAACAGCCTCAGGCTCCATCATTCACTTTCTTTGAGTGTAACATAAAACATAAATAAACATAATTTCTTAGAAATGTGTCAGTGTTTTTTTTTTTTACACCAAAAACTGATTTACCAATTTGTAAATGTAATGTTGTACAGGTTTGGAACATCAAGATGGGAGAAAATTATCTTTTTCGAGGGTAACTATCCCATTAAACCATATCACATAGGAATATCATCATTAATGTTCCTAAAATACATCAAAAATTCCCTGTTAAATCCACATGAATGATTCGTTTCTAAGATATTACAAACTGCTCTGGTATGGATATGAGTTCCAGCTATGTTCAGAGCTATGAACTTACTGTTTATGGTGCCTTTCAAGGCGTCACCCACAAAGGCAATGGAGATGAACAAAGCTATCACTTCTTCTGTAGAACTGAGAGGACACATAGGACAAGGTGAACAACTGATATTCTCTTTTGTGAAAACAACAGAGCACAAACCTAGACATAACAAAACCGGGGCACACCATGAACGGAGATTATCACACACATGACAGGACAGCACAGATTTATGATGTTTATGCTACAGAGAGAGGCCACAGCAGAAGTGTCTGAGTTATTTCAGAATGTAGCGTCTGCCTGAAGAGCGTCTGCCTGGTACATTTCCTCAAGAAAATAAGTGAGATGCTTGTTTGTGTAAAATTCTCCACTATAATACTTGGTTTTGAGTGGTTGGAGTGGTTAGCAGGGTTGCTATAGTTTTATGAGTTGTTGTTACTAGCTGGTTGAATACTGCTGGTTGGTACTACAGTAGCATTCTTCACTCTATAGACCTTATGCACCAGAGAAACAGTCGCCGTCATCTTTAGAATATTGTCTTTGAACTTCTGTTATTGCGTTAGCTCTGTATATTTCTATGGCATCGCTGTTGAGGAGTAATTAGCTGGTGAAGTGGATTTACATTCTCATTGTAGAGTTAACAAAAGTTATCATGAGCATTGTAATATTTATCATAAGCATTGTAAGGCGGATGTCTTAACAAATTTCGAACAGGAAATTTTTTACGAGCAATTCATTCATACCCATGCAAGATTGCTGTGGAATTACAGACCGGAAGTCAAAAGACAATGAGTGCAGTACTGAAAAGGGGCGGGGCTACATAAGGTCTAGAAAATTCTGAATCTGTCCTGACTTTCAGACTTTTCTGAATCTTTCAGACTTTTCTGAATCTGTCCTGACTTCCCCATCCACCAGGATTGTGTAGACGTGCTAAAGAAACATTATTGCTGGTTAGTATGACACAAGAATTTAAATGTACTAATTTGGCTCAACATAACTTTTTTGTTGTTGTTAAAAAAAAACAAAATAAAAAAAAAAAAAAAAAACACTTGTATCATTTTTAATTTAACAACCAAAATTAATTGCGAGGAAAATATTTTCATTCAACAACATTTTTTTTTGTGAAGTTTCATTAACCATTATATGCAATGTGTAAAATGAACAAATAAAAAGAGAATTTGTCTACTTGTCTACTTACCTACGTATTGTTTGTCACACAAGATAATAGGTAAATCACATTGGTAGAAGTGCATGTAACAAACTGTTTAATCTTATATGTAATCTTACAGTTCGTTATGCTACTGCAAATGGAAGAACATATTCTACGGATGTCTCTTCATGCCGCGCACTTAAGACAGGGAAAGAAACCAGTGTCCTTGTTTAGAAGTCCATCGGGACAAAATGTTAACAAAAATGTTTTTGAATTGTTGTTATATGTAGCTATATATAATCATGTAGACTATTGATGTAAATATTTGGGATCAAATTAGATTGCGGTATGTTACATGGGTTACGGTAATAAGTGTTTAAATGAATGCAGGTGTACGCTTGGTAACACATGACACTGATGAAGGGTTGAACTCTTGCACTTTTTTGCACTTTTGCACTTTATTTGGTAAATATACACATGGTACTACTGCACTGACCGTTTAAAGAGCTTCATAAACAGGCCGACATTGAAGATGCCTCCTAGTATGAGGAACAAACTGTTCCAGAGGCCAATGCAGGCGTAAAATGCAGGAAAGTCGAGGTCATAGTCATCACAGATGCCTCTGATCACTGCAGTGTACAAATAAGAGAGAGAATACAACTGAATAGGGCTCTGAGATAGACAGTGCACCTTACCTTCTTTTCTTTATAAGAGACATGCAGTACCACTGATGAAGATGGCTAGAGGTGCTGTGGTGAGAGGGATGACCAGCGGAGACCCAGAACAAAGAGAGTAAATCACTCCTCCAATGCTCTGACCAATTATAGTCTTCTGAACATCTGCAGAAAGGCAAATAAACCACAAGGAACACACAAACACAAAACTGTCAAAATACCCTTCTAATCAAGCTGGATTTTGAACATGGTAGCTGATGTCCAGCTGATCACCAGCTAAATGTCCATAAATGTCTTATACTAGAGACCTATCTCTCCTCGAGTGCTCTCATCATTCAGAGAGCCAAACGCAATCGCTGGCAGCAGGATAGCAATGTAGAGGAAGATGGCCGTGGTGGTGTACTTCAGCAAAGATCTGTCAGAGCCCAGAATACCTGGAGAGAAACCACCCAGCAACAGACACCTCAGCTGGAGCAACAGAGATTTCTGTTATTTTTGGTAAAAGTGAAGTCAAGCAGGGACTTGAGGGAAACTGAGACTCGCCATCTGTGAAGTCGGACAGGTACAGTGGAAGCCTGCGGCACAAGTCCTCATAAATGCCATGACCTGCTCTTAGGAAATCTTTGACCTGTGTACAAAAGTAGAATTGGAGATGAAAAAAAATATGCTGAATAATGTTTTTTTTTTTTTTTTTTTAATGCATTAAGGCAGGACTCATAGAATCTTAAATGCTTAAAAAACAAAAACATGAAAATAAGTGTTATGTCCTGTAGACTTATGTAAGATTTACATGAATCTCTAAAATAATCACATTAAAGGGAATGTGTGAGCGAACAGTGGATCACTTCAGCATAGTGAACCTTCTATAAATCTTTCCGGTTTATATATATATATAACCGGAAAGATTTATAGAAGGTTCACTATAAATGTCAGGGTAGGTTTAGGGAATAGAATATACAGAATGTAGAGTATGGAAATCGTTATTTCTATGGAACCCAACATGTGTGTACCATAAATTAAAGACAATTTTTTATTTGACAATATTTTTTCTTAAGATACAGGGATGAAGATTGAGTTTGATGAATGGCCTAAAGTTTGTAAAATAAATAAATAAATAAATAAAATGTATGTATTTTTTGTTTTACAAATGTTTTAATACTATTTAATGGAAAGTCATATTGTAACACTTCTTAATTCACTACTATAATCAGAACAGAGATTTAGGTGTTTAGGAAGATCTAAATCTTTACTCAAAAGCCTTCAAATGAATATGCAGTACGGCTGTTGGGCGATAGGGTGTTTTGTGGATGGTGGGGTGGACATGCACCCAGGTTCTTACATCAGTGCTTACATCAGTGTGGAGAAGTTTTTATTTGGTCAAGGTTTAGCATAATGTGAGGGTAGACTGTTCGTGTGAGGAGTGAACTTAATGACCCACACAGAGAAAACTGAATATCAAGTTAACAGGCAGACTGAGTAGATAATTGGTTGGTGAAGCGATTTACATGTCCCTGAGCCTCTCAGATTCAGACCTTGAGTGGTTTGTTGCTTTGTGCGTCGATCTCTTCCTCCACCGAGGGCTTCTGGATGGCAGTGGAGAGCTGCTGCCTTTGAATCACCAGCTTCTGTTTGAAGTCTTCCTGGGTCTTAGTTTCCAGGAGTTTCTGTGTAAATGAGATGTCTGAGAACAAGGTGGCAAAAGTGCGACCGAGCTCTATGGCAGTCTTTGTACTTTTCTGCAGGGCAAGAAAGAGGACAAATCTAAAAAATCGTACAAAGTAAATAGCGTAAAAACATACACAGTTTGAAACAACAGGAAATTAGGAGACAACAGTTATAATTTAAATCTGTGTTATTTGTCACTTTAGGAAGATGAAAGGAACGGCTTACTGTTCGAGGCGGTGCCAGGATGAGGATAACATAGCGGACCTCACAGCAGTTAACACCCCAGTTCTGTGGCCGCTCCAGACGGGTAATGCAAACACATCGTCTCTGAAGAGTCTTCACGTTACAGCTGAATACAGAAGGCCATACACTTTTTATTAGCCATATATTTAAAGTACCCTTTATTATTTCCTTTATTTTTCCTTTATTTTAACCAGGAAAGTCACATTGAGATATTACTATCTCTTCTTCCAGAGAGACCTGGTCAAGACGGCAGCACAAGAAGTTTCATACACAAAATCACAGAATAAAATACCACAATTTACACATCACAAACAACATGGATAAAGACGAGTTAAGAAAAACAATTGCACTTGTCCTTTAAAACATTGGGCAAGAGACGTTTAAAGGAGGTCAGAGTTGGGAGTGCATCTAGATTCAAAACATTTTGTAAATCATTCCAACTCCAAGGGGCGTAAAAAGAAAAAGCACTTTTACCAAATTCTGACCGAGCCCTTGGGACTTTTAGCCGGAGATGAGAGCCAGACCTAGTTTGGTAGGTATTTGTGTGATAAATTAAAAGATTTGATATTTAGGAAGGTAACTTACCTAAAAGTGCTTTTTACAATAAATAAGTGCATGTGTAGTTTTCTCCTTTGATTTAAAGATGACCAAGCTAAAGAATCATAAAGAATACAATGATGTGTCCGTGGCTCTGCACCAGAAACAAAGCGTAAAGCAGCATGGTACACGGAATCTAATTTTCTGAGTAGAGTAGTGGCTGCATGCATATATAAAAGATCACCATAATCAATGAATGATAAAAAAGCACTCTCTACTAATTTCTTTCGGGCCTCAAATGGGAAACAATGTTTTAAGCGATAAAAGAAGCCTATTTTTGGCCTAAGCTTCTTCAACAACATTTCGATATGTACATCAAATGCTAATCTTTCATCCAACCAAATACCTAAGTATTTATAGGAACTAACTCTTTCTAGGGAAATACCATTTGAAGTTGTAATTGAAATGTCAGTTACCTTGGAGCGACCACGACTAAAAATCATATATTTGGACTTTTTTGTATTTAAAGCCAATTTTAATGCCCTTATTATGCTTTTTCGTATATTACCTTTCATGCAGTTTGTTATATAGCCGTTTGTGAATGTAAAAGGTCTGTAAAGATTAAAGTACACAATAAATAAAGTTGCCTCCCAAAAGAAAGAATCGATTCTGAACAACCTCAAACGAGTCATCAGTAATTCACAGTAAAAGAAATGGACACAGCGACCCCATTGATTTCACTGGAGAACATTGAAGCCCGTTAAAAGCTGATAGACAGGCGTACTGCGTCACGTGAGCAACCTGTATGTCTTCTAGTAGCTGTGCCGAGTGAAATTTGAATCTACGTAAAAATACAAGGTAATGGAGCCTTTTAAACATTGTCGTGTTTCTTTAGAAATAAATAATGGACAAATTAAGTCTTTGGACACCTCAGATGTAAAATTATTCGCTGTCAAAGTGACGCCAAAATGAATGGGAGTCAATGGAATGCTAACAGCAGGTGATTATCTGCTACAATGGCGGCTCACGCGAGGCTTCAACTTCCGGCTGATGGATTACCCCCTTGGTAATTCCATTCTTACTTCCTGCACTAAACTATGAAGGTTTGTAACACATTTGCATAATGCCAGCCTATTGGCTGCTCGTGAACAGCATCTACTCTGACCCTCAAACACTGTAGTTGTAGCGGAGGACTGTAAGAGTTTGGTTTGTGTTGTTGACATGAAGACGACTCGGTTTCAGTGCTGTGAAAGCAAATCCACTTTGCAGCACTTCGAAATGATGAGGACTCGAGCTGTAACTGATACGGTAAAACCGACGCCATAGTTACTGTTTGAATGAAGTTGGGTATGAAATGCTGAGGAAAATCTAGCGCTGAAATTCAGATATGGTAATGGCTGTTTGGTTTCCAACCCACTTTAAACAGTAGACCAATCACTACAGACTGGGCCATCTGACCAATCAGAGCAGAGTAGGGTTGCTGAAAGGTGGGGTTTATGTAAACCAAGCGGCAACATTCTAATCTGAAAAATGAAGCCTACCCGGAAGTGCGAAAAACTGCAATACATTTCAAATCCACTAGAGGCCGGTCCCAAAAGGGAGCAAATGTCTACATACTCCATGTTAAAATGTCCATTTTCACAGCATAAATTCATGTTTTTACAGGTTGGTCCCATGGACTTTTATTGTAATCTTCAATATGTTCTGCGTGCCTGACAACAGTGAGGGGGGTGATTTTTTTTTTCTAACTCGTTAGTTTAGATCGTATTTATATATAAAATGTATGACAAATAAGGGTGGTTAACTTTGATTGACAGCTGATAACGGGCTGCGCCGAGTGGAATTTGACGTCTCGGCCATTATCCGACACAACACATCATACCAGCTCTGTATCCTTTCTGAACATTTGTATTTCCCAAGATTTTCCAATATGGCGTTCGCCCATACCCCCCATAAACAGCCTCAAAACTGCTCTTCAGAAAGTCTATGGGTGACGTCACAGACGCTTTGTCCATATTTTTTACAGTTTATGATGTAAACCTATTGTAGGAGACCAAAAAAAAAAAAAACAAATAAGGAATACTGTGTTAAGTAAATATTTTGTATGAGTAAATGTAATATCTCAGTTGCATTTGCCTACCATACATAGGATTAGCATATACTTAAGCATATAAAAAACAGCATTATATTGGCCACGAGCTAAAAATATAAATAAATAAATTTTAAAATAAAAATGAATTTAGTAAAAAAAAAAAAAAATTCAATCAATGCTTAATTTTACACTTTCAGCTAAACGTTTGATTGCACCCCATAATTAATTTAACTGCATTTTAAAATTATTCAATAATTTAAAAAAAATAATTGTATTATGAAAATTTAAAAGTGCAAAGTACAATGGTTTTGTAATTTGAATGGCTTTGCAGTAGGCTATAGGCATTAGAAAGAATCGAACAAGTATGTAAATGTATTAATACTGCAATAAACGTTCAAGGCTATAGGCTTAAAAAGTAGTGTAGAGTTCTTGATCTGGAAAAAGATGTTAGATATTTAAAGTATACTTTCAAATATATAAAAAGGTTGAAGAAAAAAGAAAGAAACATATATAAGTGTATATTAATTAATATTAAAGTGCTACATACAGCACACAGATCCAGGACTGCTGGTAACAAACTCCAGTGGTTGTTGCTGTCACACCCTGAATGGTCTCGGTCAAAAGGTGAACTTGATAAGACACAGAAAAAGAGAGAAACTGTAAAACCCATTCCATGTTTTTAAAGACAGTTGGTCTTCCATTAATGTATTCTCAAAAGGGGCTGCCCTGGATTTTTGGATTTCTAGACTAGACCACATGAGGCATTTGGTGCGAGCAGCCCGCTGCTCACCATTGGCACCCTGTTCTCCAGCATCTATAAACAGAGCACTCATGACCTCGTCCGCATTGCAGCTGCCCAGCCCGTCCGTGGCCACATGGTCCAGCATTCTGCGCAGTACTTCGTCCAGGGAGGCTGCCTTTTCATCCAGTAGGATGTTGGCCTGAGCCAAGAACCCATCTAGATCCCGATGAGCGCTCACCTCCTCCTGGAAATTCATCAGCTTCACACACTGAAACGGGAAAGAACCAATCATAAGGTCATCACAAATCATGCTTTAGACCCGGTTCTCTTAAATCAGTCCGTTAAACCAATCAACAAAGCATTTGCATTATATTTATGCATTTGACATAGCTTTTTATTCAAAGCAAACCCATGACATTAAAGCACAGTAGTACATTTAGTAACAATTAAAACAACTGTTTTATTTGAATATATTTTAAAATGTAATTTAGTTCTGTGATTACTCCAGTCTTCAGTGTCAAATGATTATTCAAAAAACATTATAATATGCTGGTTTGGATCAAAATATGATCAAGAGACTTTCAAAAGCATTAAAAATATCAATTATTCTAAAATTCCACCTCATAACTTCAGATCATAAAAAAAGAGAACAATGCACTCATGTGCTTCAAACTGAACCGTGAGGCTTCGTAGCAATACACATCTCGATTAAACAACAGATTTTAATTATAAAACAGCTTTAGCAAGAATGGCTTACTCTTCTTGATGTATGTAGAAGGCCAAATCCTGAAACGTCATCTATTCATAGTAGAAAGGACAGGAAGAGGAGAAAATAAATGATAAATTGTTAAAACCCTTGTGCTGTTACATGGATGTACGAGTATGAAGGACATGCCACTGAGCCAGGCCTCCCAGAAGAAATGTTTTCTTTCATTATCTTGAAGCCATGAACCCTTTGTATGATGTCTCCCTGGTTATAAATAGTCAAAGAGTTCCAAAGTCTGCAGCACAGACACATCAGAAGTGCATTGTGGTCCCTGAACCCTGACACAGCAGTCACTTAGGAATAAGACCTGGCACAGCCTGCTTCCCCAACATATCAGCCAAAATAGGAAAACAATACTGATTGTTTTTAAGGTGGAAAGTGAACAGAGATCATTTTTGATAGGTGTTCAAAATGTGGAGGAGGTTGAGCTGCTGCTGATGGTTGATACTACTGGGATCCATCTATACCTCAGGCTACCATCACAATGATTTTTGAAGTAGTCTCAAAGAGAATCTCATCCAACACACCCACGCACATCATATCTGAACCGCACCACACAGATCTAAACAAACATCACACACTGTGATGCATCACACGCTCTGACCTGAGATGGTCGGCTGAATGGGCGTCTCGACTGCTGTCTGTTACGATCGTGAGAGTTTCGAGTTTCCTCAAGCTCTCTTCTCTGCGGCATCTCGCAGCTCTGAGGCATCAACATGTCACAATAGAGCTCCTTAAGTGAGACTTTCTTAGCTTTAAGATGATTATTATAATCTAATTTCCCTGCCTAACTCAGTCTGACGTGACCTTTTACAGCTGCTGTAGATGAAATGTGGCAGTGCTTTTATAGAGGCTGAGATGTGTTCACTTCCTGTTCAATGAATCATGCTCATTTTCATTTCAACCAGAGACGTATATTTAATACTATTTATGGTATGTGACTTCAGATCCACCCCCCTTAAAAATATATGCACTATCTGTTAAAGCTACCCAAGTAAAACCCTGCAAAACCAGACACACAGAGCATTATAACCATAGCCACCCCAATCAATCTTTGCATGGAAGAGTATAATCATGACATGAGGTAAAAAACGACATGATATTCTGAGGGATAAACCGAGTTTGTGCCGGCTGCAGCTTTTTGTTTTACACTTGGGTTGATACGCTGTGAAGTTTGTTTACTCGCAGTCTCCGGTTTTGATGGTATTTACTTAATGCGATACTGTGAATTTGAGCTGATTATTTTTAAGTTATGCTTGTATGATCAATTCAGCAGTATTTAACACATCAGCCCTCTCATCTTCACCTTCCTCAACCTGTTTTGTTTGTCTTTCATTTAACAGAAAACGTGCTAACTAAACAGGTGTGGCGAGCAGATGCATAGGAACAGAGAAAATATTTTAAAAACAATTATTTCTCACCCATCCCTTGGAAGAGGTGGCCATTTTTTGTCTGCCCAGGAGTGTCTGTGGAGGAAACAGGCCTCAACTGAGCCTTCATCTTCATACAAAATGAGTTTCTTCACATATTTCAAGGTGGTCAGAAGAAGAATTACAATACTTACCAAAAATAGATGAATAGCCAAACTGTCATATAGACAGATACCCCTTTTCCACCAAAGCATTTTGAGAGCCGGTTCGGAGCCGGTGCATGAGAACAAACCAGTTCTTTGTGTTTCGACAGCCAAAGAACCGGTTCTCGGCCAGGAAAACTGGTTCCAAAGTGGCACCAACTCTTTGCTAGACTAGAACCGTTCTTTTACCGCGTCATACTTACGTCGGGGGCGGGTTTAGATGTGTTCTAAACATCTTTTCTGACCATCGCAAAGCCAGGAGAAACATTTGCGGAAAAACGATGGAATCCGCCTTTGTCATTGTTATGCTTGAAGTTGGCGCAAGCGTTTTTTTTGTTTTTTTAAACATTATAAGCAAAGAAGAAAAGGTAACACTTTATTTTACGACCCGCAAACAACTGTGTAAGTACACCTAAAGTACGGTGTACGTTTCTGTAGTTATAGTGTACTTCCGTATAAGTATAAGGGAACAATATGTTAAGTTTGGGGTAATAAAGGGGTAACAAGCACCACTTTAATTTACAGCCCGCAGGAGTTACACTTGCCCTGTAACTACACAGAACAAGGGGGTAACAAACGCTAGTAGCAATACGAAACAACACTATTTGCACTGTAATTACAGAAAAAGGTATTATCAAGAAAAGAAAACAACAACAACAAAAAAACTCTTAATTACACAGTATATTTGCCCTGACATTTAAGTGTCATTGCAATTCAATGGGATAAGGCAAGTACTAATTACCACATGGTACGGTCTAAATTAAAATCATAGCAGAAACAAATTATTTAGATTTTTCTAGCAATCTAGTAAGAAAAGCCAATAAATTAAATTTTTATCATAGTATATATATATATATATATATATATGTGTGTGTGTGTTTAATTTTCAACCCACAGATGTCAAAATTACCCTGGCCTGAACATATTTTGCCAGAAATGTGATACATTGTATAAACAACAGACGTACAATTTTTTTTTTCATGGAATATATTAACAGAATAGGTACCTGTTATTTTACTTATTTATATTTTATAAATAAAATATTTATTTTATTAAATATTAATTTATATATTAAACAATTTACTTGTATATCTGCTTGTTACCCCTTTTTTACCCAAAACTTAACCTATTGTTCCCTTATACTTACACGGAAGTACACTATAATTACAGAAACGTGCACCGTAATTTCGGTGTACTTACACAGTTGTTTGCGGCTCGTAAAATAAAGTGTTACCGAAGAAAATAGTCACAATATAGAAGAAATAAATGGAAAGAAAAAAGACAAGACAGGGGTACATAACTAATCAGAAAATATTACATGTCAAAAGAAAAGATTAAAAGACTTACATATTTCAATTGTTTTTAAAGCCTTCTTGGTACACAAGTTAGAGATAATCCCAAAGTAATGTTGTACTCGCAACTAAGCGTTTCTAGCTAAGACATATGGTGACGTACACAGTGGCGTAACAACGTCGTTCCCTGGGGGCACAAACAGGTTCTAAAAGGGTTCGCAAGTTGAACCAACTCTGAACCAACTTTGAACCAGCACCAGTTCCGAACCAGTTCCTTTTTGGTGGAAAATGGACAAGACAAAGAAATACAGATCGATTTTTTTTTTTTTTTTTTTGCATAAACAAACCCAAAGTCAGCATGAAATTGTCTTTCTTCCTTATTGTGATATGCATCCAATTGAAACAGCTTCTCAAATGAGAAAAAAATAAAACATAGGGTGGGACTTGATTCTGTCCATTGGGAAGGGATTGGATCGTTGTTGTTTGCTAATTAGCCTACTCATGCGAGTTTGCAGCAATTACCGAATTAAAGATGAATTAGTTAATTGCACTTGGATGCTTTAAAATAATGAAAATGTGAGGGGGAAATTCAATGCATCTGCTTCTACTGTCAGTATAATTAATGAATGAAAAGTTGTAAATGAGCCTTATAATGGCACTGAAGAGGGGCAATAGAGTGAAGAGCAGTCATGAGTCACTCTTATAAATTCAGGATCCTGACTCTCACTCTTACCTCAGCTGCACACAATTATTCCAGGCCATCAAAGAGACTGGGATTTAATGGAAATTTCCCATCTTTGAAATTTATCCAATTTACACCAGCCCTGATATCGTCATGCATGGAAGGCTCAGAGCCGTCACGTATTTTCTTCAGGGTGGATGGGATAAAGAGGTTATTTTCTGCACAAAAATTGTATCACAGACTGTAGGATATTCGAAGCACATCGTGTTGCTATCTCCAATGAGCACAGCTCCACCATCATCCCGCCATCTTTAATTTAGCAGACAACTTGCTTTGTTACAACAGTCCTCACACTAGATGGGCCTCAAAACACTGTAGTGCTTTGAGCCCTAAGGCAGATTGCTGCCCTTGCAACCCTGCTGGCCTGGAAAAATTGATTCAATTATCTTTTTGACAAAATATAATTTGTTCCTATATCTATGCTTACTGGTCTAATCCAAAACTAGGTATTTTCTTTTGAGAGAGTGTCTGAGAATGGAAATTCCTCCTTTGTGGATTGGTTTGCTCTATAGTCTGGACATGTGACATCTGGGATTAGAGGAAAGATTGTCATTTCTAGTCTCACTTCAGGACCTCATCAGCCCTCAGGCCACACGAGTCCTGTAATGGCTGGACATACACACCGTACGTGACAAAACCATTTCTGAGAGTCCTTAATGGATCCCTTAAAGCAATGTTCTGTGTTCAACACAACTTAAGCTCAGTCCACGGCATCTGCAGCATGCCGCCAAAGAAAATAACGTAATATCACACAAGAAAGACTTGTGTTGTGACGGCAAACGTGTAACTAAGTAAGGAAAAGCCATTCAAAATGAACCTAACCCTAACCCAGATCCGGTGGTCCTTTATCATAATGTATCAATCCAAAAATGTCCATGATACATGTAAGAACATTATTAGTGATACAATTAAAGACAGAACCAAGAGGGAGCCCCACCAATACTTGGGACAGCCTTGACTACGCGCAGCCACATAAAGACACTCTCGGAAATGAGCTTGCTTGCAAAATCCAATAGGATTTGTTTGAAACATTGTAATTAATACAGTACAACTTGTCACCTTCAATGGGCTTTTCTTTGTGTTTGTGATGTGAAGTCTAAGTGGTCGAAGTCTTGTTGTTTTGTTCAGTTTCATACTCAGAAATTAATATTTTAAAACACGCAACAACACATTGTGGTCTCTCTTCATTACCCACAGTTGTACTGGTAAATCCGAGTGCGAGATATGTCTCGTCACATTTCACATCACATTATCCTCTGTGTCAAAAGGTGTGCTAGTGCTAATGAGGCATCAGTTTAGGGGGATTGTTGTGTCGCGCTGCACTCGGTGTAGACAGCAACACTGATTATAATGGGTTCTATATGCTTTTGTTGTGTCATGTTGCGCCACTCGCGTTGCGACTATTGATATAGATTCATTGTCTGCATTATGTTTACCAGGCATTAGCAGTCCTTTCACAAACTTGTCTATGTCCATGCTTAGAGCAGAACCATACATAATTTATTTATATTTTTACACGGCTTCCTGCCATGCTCAATTTCGATTCTTTAAATGAGCCATCTAGCAGTCTGTTACTGCATGACAACAATCACTACAACTACAGATAACAGACCGCTCAAGTTACTACGAGACAACTTGAGGTAATAAAATGTCAAATTAATATTTTGTGTTCAATTATGAGGTTTGTTGTTTGCTTTTTGTTTATTCAAAAAAGGGACACGACACATAAGAGGAAAGCATGTAATCTATTTTGCTTACAATTCAACACAAATTCCGTCTCATGGACATCTTTTCTCTGCTGCTTGCCTCACTAGACTTCCTGTTAGCAGGCTCACTGACTTCCTGTTGCTGACTATGCTGTCCTGTGGTGCTGACAGGAATAATAGTTCCATGAAAAGGTCTGTACCTTTAGCAGGAACTAAAGTAAATTGGCACTGACCCCAAAATAGTTGTTTTAACTCTCTCTGAGACCTGATGGCGGATTTGAGTTCCTCAAAGTGTTGGTTCATCCAATTTTTTTTAATGCATTGCATTCACATATAAAAATTCATCAATCATCTCGTGTGTTAGACCGGGTTTACGCCGGAAGCTGAAGCGATGCGGAAGCAGCCGGCCCGTGCCGTGAAGTGCCAGTTTCGGCGTCTGTTTTATTTTTTTCGTGAGCCGCGAGTGATTCGCGTAAGTTACACCAAGAAACACTCGACCATCTGGTCAATTGTCAAAATACAAGCAGTTTTCAAATTAAAATACCGAGAGTGACAAATGCGAACACACAAACAAATAGGGAAACAAGGAGAAAGAGAGGCAGGCAGGAGTTGTCTCTCTGGCTGCGTGTGTCTCGACAACGGATTAATAAAATAAGTGTACAAACTTCTTGGTTACAGAAACATGGTGTATTTATATTATGAGGTTATTTACTTACCCATGATGTAATATGAAAGAGTTTCACCCCACTCACAGCAAACAAGGTGCCAGACAGATACCACTTGACAACCCAAAAAATAAATAAATTGTCTGCACACTTGAGTCCTTAAAGCAAAATTTAATGCCAACCTTTCGGTAATACAACCATCCTCAGGGCATACACAACGTTCCATTTGACTGTGTTCAAACACACCAGGACAATCAACAATGATAACCCACACCTGCAGAGGTCAGGTAGGGCCAGTTGTAGTCCACTGGTGGGAGTTGTAGTTTTTTAGGTGATCAACCCTAACTTCTTCACTTAAAGTCCCCGTGAACCGGAAGTTGCAAACGATTTTTCTCCAGTGCTGTGACGTATTTCCAAGTGAAACGGAATATTGAACAGAGGGCAGGGTTTTACTCTAGCGCTCCTCCTCTCCATCTCTCGCTCATAGT